GGTTAAAGATGACGTTTGACGCAGTCAAGACACGCCACTTCTCATATCAGATACTCTAGACATCTCAGGTTTGAGGATCCAAGAACGAACCGCTTTATGAGATTCAAGTCATGACTCTGTCCATGTGACAATCTCATGCGGGTCAACCAGTCACTCGTTCACAACGAGTACCCATGATTGTGATATGCATCCAATGCATCGATCACACCTCATGCTAGTCTTAATTCATCATTGTTCCCACAATGATAACTGACCAGGGTGTTTAGAATCATTCTATAATGATTCAAGGATACCGAAATACAACAAACATGCTAATCGTATAACGGAAATATAATGCATTCATAACTCAATGAATAAATACAAAGTCAAATGTCATATCACGAATCATCCTAGAGCATTACAACCAACACTAATGCATATATATTAAAATAAAAACGGATCTCTTACAGGTAAATCTGAGACTAACCCTCGTGAACATTTATTAAAAATAATAATGCATTATTATTATTTTTATTTTTAGTAATATATATACATAATATATATATTTAATTATAATTATTTTTATGCATTATTATTATTTTTAATAATAAATATAATTATAATTTTTTTTATTGTAATATATATACATTAGTAATGATATATATATATATATATATTGTAGTTATTTGTATATGTGGTTTATTAATTATAAATAATTTTATTTTTAATATATATATATTTGTATATATATGTGAATTTATATGTATATATTAATTTAAATACATGTAGATAAATATTTAGATATTTAATAATATTTTTGAATGCTGAGTCAGCAGTTTTTTGCTGAGTCAACAGTTTTTTTTGCTGAGTCAGCAGTTGCGTTTGTTTGATTTGGAAAAAATTTAAAAGTTTGGGTATTTATGTGGGAGTTTTGAAAAGTTCAGGTATTTATATGGTAATTTTATAGTTCGGGTATTTATTTGGGATTTTTGTAAAAGTTCGGGTATTTTTATGCGATTACCCTAAAATGAATAAAATAAAAGAATAAAATATTTTTATGAATATATATAGATATAAATACCAAGTGAATGTATATATGCATATAAAAGAGAGATACCCATAAAATGAGAAAATAAATATATAATAGAATTATACACTATAAACGGCTAAAAGAGTCGTATTTGTGTGTATTTACAATAATTGAATGTGTGATGATATATGACTACGGAGATAATATCAGGGTAATTTGCATGGCGTTGACAGTATTTCGAAAGGATTCGAATACTATCTAACGTATGATTGTAGGCGAATTATGCATGTGTGTGATATCCTGATGGTTATGATGATTGCGTTTCATCTAGACGACAATCGATCCAGGTCGGATGTCCGATAGACGGGATATGATTGTGATTGGGTTATGATGATGATACCGAGGATTCACGTATATAGCCTATCGAGTGAGTCGGTACTGTTGTGTGATGAGGGAATACGGTTCTTTGGTAACCGCGCCAATGTTCCACTGATCATGGAACGGATTCCGGGAATTGAGTGTTCCCAATGGTAGGCACATAAACCAAAGATCCGGGAATGAGTGCAATTTCCCGGGGAGGTGGTTCATACTTATTCTGAAAGATCCGGGCATGAGTCTGAAGAATATTTCCACAGCGGATGGTCGGCAAGGGGGAGTTAGCTTAGAGTTGCTCAGTCCGATATAGTCGATGGCGTCGGGGATCGATGTCTGGAGTATCCTAGTATCGAGAGGTGATATTGGTACTAGGAAGGGTTGGTATGATGAGATGTTGGTATCATTGGACGGAGCTATTACGATTATTCCGGTGTTGAGATGAGTTCAGTCACCGAGGATAGTGGTGGTTATGCGATGCACATGGAGATGAGATTGAACACCTACGTGTGCAAACATGTGGAGATGATTTGATGGATGTGTCTTATGACTCGTCATACGGATGTGATTGTGATTGTGATTGCGATTGATAAATCGATGTTTGCTACTTGATATGCCCGTTGATTGATTTTATTATTGTTAACTTTGTCCGTTGAGTTACCCATTTCAATGAAAATGGAATATCCGGGTTGCATCCGAATAATTCCCTAAGCACATAGCTTAGGACGTTGTTACGCAACGTTTCAGGAGAAGAGCAGCGTTAGAAGGATTGTGGATGTGGTGACCTGTGCAATTCTTCCTTTCCAGTTGGATCATGTATAATTTTGTACACTACAAGTACTCAGATATTTTGAGAATAATGGTGGTAGACTTTTAATGATTGTATAATAGTTTTCATAACCACCACCTCATGTATGTAAGTGTGCGGATTTGATGCATGTATAATTATGTATTCCGCTATGACATATAAATGAATGATGATTTTAAATTCCCGCACAATCGAAATTTTGAAATTTAGATTTTTGTTGTCCATGGAACGCAACCTGTATAGCGGGATGTGGGGTACGGGCGTCACAAAGTTGGTATCAGAGCAGTTCTTTCCACGGAGAAATAATGTGCTCGTATTTTCACTGGGTTTCGGGAATGGGTAAAAAGATGATTTTAAAAGATTTTACAAAAATCAAAGCATGATCACCAAGTCCCGATACTAAGTAAAGTTTCTTGTCCGCAGTAGCTATGCCTCCACGCTGCATCTGCACAACGACCTGAAGAACCGAGGGCACCTCCGTCAAATAATGACATGGAGAAATTGCAATGTTAGTTCGCAATGTTTCACCGGAAATATTTGGCAGTTTGTACGAGGTTGCATGACACCGCCACCGCCTGCTGCACCACCTGCGACAAGGCAGGAGGGAGGTTTGCCACCACCACGACCAATGTTTGTACCTTCGAGGTTTCTGGAGCAAGTGGTAGTTGACTACTTGCCATTTGTCAAGGAACTCCGAGCCCTAGGCACTCTAGAGTTTGAGGGTACTCTCAGCCTAGAGACAGCGGAAGATTGGCTTATCCAGATCATTCATCACTTCGACTGCATCTGATGCCCGTTACAGTATCGTGCCGAGATTGCGAGCCATCATCTGGTCGGCGCGGCTCGCCACTGGTGGGAAGGAGTCATACGTAAGGCTCCTGCAGGACACCAGTTCTCGTGGGAAGAATTCCGGGCAGAGTTTGAGCAGAAGTACTATCGGAGGCAAGACCAAGACCACAGGATCGTGGAATTCCTTCACCTTGAACATGGCAACTTGACTATTCGAGAGTACGAAGCGGAATTCAACAGGTTGCTGAAGTATGGAGCTCAATCTGGTGCCAACCGAGGAAAATAAGATCCAGAAATTTATCGTTGGATTACGTCCCTCTCTCAGGAGGAATATTGAGTGCCATGAGTACCCCACGTTGAGTCGATACATCAACCAACTCGACAAGGTGGAACGGGGTAAGAAGAAGAAGATGGATGCCAATATACGAGATCGGGGTCCATACAGGAGAGTTCCGATACACCGTCCCCCGACGAGGATTGGCCAGACGAGTCAACCCCATGACAAAGGGAAGGCTCCAATGTTTCGTCCAACTGCACCAGTACCACCACCACAGCTCAAAAGGCCATGCACCCGATGCGGTCGAGTTCACACTGGATGCAATCCACCTCTGACTTGCTACCGATGTGTCGACCTGGCCACTTTGCATCACAGTGCACTGAGAATGTGACTACGTAGTCAGGAGGCAAACCTCCACAACCACTTCCATCGAAGAGATTTGGCATTGCACCGAGAGTTTACATGCTCTCGGCCGAGTCTGAGGCACATGAGGATATCTATGTTGAGGAGGTGAATGCCCTTATGACGAAACCATTGAGGTAGACCCCGAGGAGACCGACGTTGCTGCCATTACAAGTATTCTTCGCATACATGATATTTCGTGCTATGCATTGTTTGATACAAAGGCTACCCATAGCTTCTTGAGTGCGAAGAAAGTAGAAGAGTTGGCTATCATGGATATGGATACGTCAACCCGTTTCATGGTGCATACACCAGCGGGAGAAACTCTTTCCGTACAAGGAATTTTAAATTCCATGCCCTTGGTCATCTGTGGGAAATCCTTATTACTGACCTTATCATAGTACCTAATCAGGGATATGATATGATATTGGAAATGAATTGGTTATCTACACATCGAGCACAAATCAATTGTCTTCAACGAACTATTTGGTTCGTGGATGAGTTTAGGGGATTTGAGTTTATTGGAGAAAGGTCACGGAAGATATTTTCGATCATATCAACATTCAAGGCCAACAAGATGATTAAGAAGGGAAACAAAGCATTCTTGATTGTAATCACTGTGACCAAGAAGACTGAGACAAAGTTAGAAGATACCCCCGTGGTACGAGATTTTATAGATGTCTTTCCTGACGATCTACCTGGAGTACCGCCATAACGGGAAGTAGACTTTTCTATTGATATTGCGCCAGGAACGGAGTCGATATCCAAGATACCCTATAGAATGGCCCCAACGGAAATGACGGAATTGAAGAAGCAACTAAATGAATTAGTGGAGAAAGGATTCATTCGACCGAGCATATCACCTTGGGGAGCACCAGCACTATTTACGAAGAAGAAAGATGGTAGTATGCAGTTATACATCGACTATAGGGGACTTAATCAAATGACTGTTAAGAATCGATACCCGCTACCTAAAATTTACGAGTTGCTTGATCAGCTCCAGGGTGCTAAGTGGTTCTCGATAGTTGATTTGCGATATGGATATCATCAGATCTGAGTGAAACCTGATGACATCCAAAAAATAGTTTTTCAGACGCAATATGACCACTTTGAATTTGTTGTGATATCGTTCGGATTGACAAATGCTCAAACAGTGTTCATGCAGTTGATGAATAAGATCTTTATGGATTGCCTCGATGAGTTCATAATCATATTCATTGATGACATCTTGATATACTCTCCTAACCAACAAATGTAACACCCCGAATTTCGGTAACAAGATTAAAGAAATATAAACCGAAATTAACTACGCTTGATCAATGGAAATGAGAGGATTAGGCGTTAAGCCCTTAATTTTCGTTAACAGGATTAACGAGGGATAGACCACGACATGAAGCCGCTCGAGCGAATCGGTTTAACGTGGAACAACCGAGCCGAACGAAGAAGAGGAAAGGAGAAGAAGATCGGCTAGACTGACAGAATATAATGCCTCATAAGTTTATCTTCTCCACGCCAAACCATAGAAAACGTTTAGGTGATGAAAAACAGCTCAAGAACATAGAACCGAACCTAGCATAGCCCATTCAAAGGATTGGACCGAACCGAGCGAGGAAATGGGCGGAAAAAGAAGCCAGACCGTCGGGTCTGGCGACCACGGACTGGGAACGCCGCAATTTTTCTTCGCTTCTTTGCGGCCGCCACCTCCTGCTTCCCATGCAGCCGCCTTTCCTCCCCTTTGGCCACCTACTGCTTCGTCTGAGGCGACGAAATACGCCTAAGTCCGCCCATTTGGTTGTCATCTTCCTCTCACTTCACCCTCTCACTCTCTCACACCCTCTCAAGAAGAACCGAGACTTTGGGCTTCGATTGAAGCTTCGATTTCGGTCGAAATCGATCAAAGAATACATAAATCAACACTAGAAAACCTCCCCAACAAAACCCCAAGCTCGAATTTGAGCTAGGTGAGTGTTTTGGATTAAGCCCGAAAATGATAATCAAATTGAAAATGGAGATTTGCTTGTCTTGAGTGAGAATTGCATGAAATTGATTATAGATTTGAGTTCCCCATGATTTCTAGATTGTTTTGAGCTATAGGTGGTTGAATTTGGTGCGAAAATTTGGGAACCGGAGTTACTGGTTCGCCTAGACGGTCCATTTTTCATGCAATTCTCCTGCGACCCCGTTTTCGCCTGCGAACTCAGAATTCGAAGCTCTTGCACACTATGCAACAATTAACAGAAAATCTACTCTAGATCCACAATCAAATCATGCATAGCATCAAAGCAAACACAGATTCAAACAATTCAAATCCTAACACGTGCGTGATCGGGTTCTAAAAAAAAACATGCAGAGCAACCAGGCTCTGATACCACTGTTGGGTTTCCTGTGATCTCATGAGCGAATCTAATTCCTAAGCGTGTTACGACGATCCGTATCCTTGCGGTGAGTTGTGAATCGGGTATAAATTCTAATTTTGTTGAAACCCTAGAACCTATCATGCATGATCTTGTAGAAACGTTAGAACGCTTACCTCAATCGATCCGGGGGCTTTATCAATTGATCTGTTCGTCCGATCACTGTAGGCAGGAAGAACACCTTGCCCTCTACACGTATCCACACGGCGGAAAGGATTCCAACGGTTGGAACTTGTCTGCTAGGACTGAAGAACACGTTCTTCTTTGCGCAAAGGTTTCAGGGATCTTTCTCTTAGGTTTTTCACTCTCCAAACCTCTCCCTAGGGTCTGAAAATCGTGCCAAAAGCATTAGTAGGCGTTTTCCTAAGTTTATCCCACTTAAAACCCTAGTTAGAGCGAGTTTAGGAAATCCCGACGTCTGGACCGATCGGTCTGAAGCAACTTCCGGACCGAGTGACTTTCACACGTTACCTCTGGACCGACCGGTCTACGTGTCTAGACCGATCGGTCCAGACCTTCTGGACCGGTCGGTCTGGCCTCCGCTCCACCGGGATTTTCTCGTCTCTTTTCGCGCATTTGTCCTTTCCTGTGTGTGTGACCCTGTAGGCTCATCCGATATAGCAGTATAACACGAAATCTCTTATTTCGGTTACACAAGTCATAGGCGGTCTCTAGCAAGACACTATGACTACCTATCTCGAATAGAGTTTGTTCGTGATCCTACGAACGCTAGTGATGATTCCGTTTGATGATCCTTTTGTATCACGATATCATATGTCGAATATAAGGCATGGACAAGCCACCTTATCTGATTCGACTGCTTTCTCGTTCACTGAGTTCGACTGTCTGAAATAGACGATGTTCGT